GGTGATCCACATGTCAACCTTGTATGACCATTTTCCTTGCACCGACTACATGTCGATATCCTCTTCTCTTCACCCTTAGACGGTATACGATCGTGATTTTTTGGTCGGCCAGGTAGCCTATTGTCCATGACTGGTGGCAAAACTGTTTGTAAGTCATCTGGTATGTCCCACTCAGAAAGATGTGGAATAGGGTAGACAATCTCGACATAAGTTTGTCGATATACTTCTGTAGTGTAGCAATCCATAGCGTATGCGCTTGAATCATCTTGGTTTAGACGAAGAGCAACTTTTATAACATGACCACACGGATAACCAGATGTTTGCCATTTCTTACAACTACACGTCTTTGTATTTAGATCGACAAGCCCATTTAAGTTATTATCCAATACTTCAAACAAAGTGTTTGAACATGGTTCAACTCTCCATGACGTTGACTTCACAACACGTTCCATTATCTTTTTTTTAGTCCATGGTGTAACACGACGTTCCAATGTTCCTGTAAATTAAAATAAATAATACTTAGTAAAATATATTAAATATGATAAGTTACGAATTTAAAGAAATAATACATGCATGGTTTCTTTTCTTGTAGTACCACTGATGAATAGAGGCTCGAAAAAACTCCATTAACATAGTAATGGGTAATTTCCGGGAATGACGACTTAGAGCGTTGATTGATTCTGCACTATTAGACATCATGAAACCATATCTTGCTCCAAGTTGATGTACTCTTGACCATCTTTCAAACCCAACATCTTCTAGTGTTTGAGCACATTGAGGCAAAACACGTCTTAAACAATTTATATGCTTATTAAAATCCACTTCCCAATAAGCTTTTACAGCCTTCCAGTATATCTATTTGTGTTTTTTTTATACCAGCAGACATTGATTTTAGATTTCTGTACAAATGAACACCACAAAGTCCATGAAAAGCATCTCGGAAACACCTTCTAACAGCGTTGTCAATTGAGTTTGCCCAATCATATATGATTGTCAGATTGCTAATAGGACATATGTAATCCCTAAGATGCCCCATAAACCATGTCCATGAATCAGAGGTTTCAGATTTGCCAACCCCGTAAGTTATTGGTAGTATCCCATTGTTAGCATCCATGGCTACTGCTAATAAGTTTACTCCAAGGTATCGACCTTTCAAATGTGCTCCGTCAACTATAATAACTAGGCGCATGCAAGTAATAAAAGAACGAATCTACAAAATCATATACACAAGAAATATAATCATTTAAATGTGAAATGCATGCAACTAACAAAAATGAGTCAACAAAATTATAATGATTTACTAACAGCAGCACCAATGGCGATAAACAATAACTCAAAGCGTCCATCTTTATCTGTTTTGATATAAGTTACCGACCCAGGATTTTTCAGCTTTAAATTATGACAATAAACCGGCAGTTGGGCAAACGATGCTTCTAGCGACCCCTTCAACAATTCCAAGGCATAACATTTGGCTCTCCAAGCTTGAGAATATGAGATACTAATCTTGAATCGAGCATTTATGTCAGTCATAATTTCATGTCTCCGATATACCCTTCCATTCAAAAACATTAACTCAGCCAGAAAACCACCCAACACTTTTTTGTTTGTCTGTCTATGGTGAGGAAAAACTTGGGTTCTTGAACATGTATGTTTATCAATAAAAGTCCTAACTTGAAACATTTCACAATCTTTTATCCTCTTTGCAATCATACGCCACGTACAGTTTTTATCAATCATACACTTTGTTTCGAAACGATCTTTGCTTGATTTGTTAACTTTTAGTTGATAGCCATATTTCACACATTTCGTATACAAAGCTATCTTCAAGTCTTCATTTGTATCAAAACAATCTTCTTTCTTGATATGAATAACTTTTTTGTAACAATCAACTGCTATCTTTACCAACTCTTCTTCCGGTATCTGAAGTAATTCTAGCATATTCTAGTTATACTCCCGTGGCATTTTCTTCTTTTCTTTTCTTCAGGGACTTCTTTTTCTTCTTCTTCTTCTTCTTCAGAGTTATATGAATTACAGAATGGATGCTCAACATGTTCATTCACAGTCGTAACTTCCTCCTTATTATCATCAACAACATCTTCCTCGTCAGCGGCTGTTTCATCATCAAAATTTGGGTATTGACCAATATCAAAATCATTACACGCAAGGTCTGTTTCTTCTTCTGAAACATCATCAAAATCTGAGTATTGACCAAGATCAAAGTCCGGGTATTGACCAATATCAAATTTCGAATACTGACTAGTACTCACAATTTTTTCTGTTGGCTCATAATCGTCTAACTGGTCAATACGAAAACCGAAATTTGGTGCTGAAAGTTGATTGGGATTTAGATTAGGAAAAGGTTGTGGGTTTTGAGATTGTGTTTGATATTGTGTTTGGTATTGGAAATGTGGTGAAAGAAAATTTTCTTGGTGATGAAATTGTGGTGGAACCATTAAATTTTGAGGTTGATAACAACGTTGTACATTGTGAGCACCATAAACTGGGGTTGAAGAACTTAGTTGATTACTACCCGCTACTGACCCAACTTCACTACTTCTAGGTTCAACAACATACAATGTAACATCATCTTCTTGCGAAACACTAATGTAAGCAATGAATCGTTCAACATCTTCATTGTCGATTAACAAATAAACTGTACATTTTCTTTGATAAGATAACCTAAATCCACTTAGAGGCTCTAAATTCAATTTCTTTGTAACACGTAACATTAGAGTTTCATAAGTTAACTTTTTTAATGACAGTTTTAGTTGAAGATTCATGGGTAAAGGCACATATTGTAAAACACCATGAACATTCTCCCATGACCCTCCAAAACAAAAATCTATCCAAACATGATCAACATTAGATGATTTCATTCTACAAATTGTAAATTAATTTACTAAACAAACGAGCTATAAACTACTTATCATCACTAACTTAGAGAAAAACATACCTTTATTAAGTTGATAGTTGATAATTTGGGAGAGAAATCATTGAAAAATTATATAGAAATAAAATTATGTAAAAAAATAGAGATGAGGAATGATGTCGTTGGATATATGAATGGATGTTGCCGGAGAGAGTGATAGATGGAGATGGAATGAGTTACGATTTAGGGATTTAGGTTATGAGTTCCTGCTGCTTATATGCCCAAAACATTTGTGTTGTGAAACTAAAACCTGTTGCGAAATTAAATTCGTGTTGCGAATTTGAAAATCGAGTTGCGAATTTAAAATTCAGTTGCGAATTTGAAATTCAGTATTGCGAATTTGACTATCGCGTTGCAAATTTGACTTCTGTGTTACGATTTACAAATTCGCGTTGCGATTTACAGATTCGCGTTGCGAATTTGACTTTTGTGTTGCGGATTTGACTTCAGTGTTGCGAATTTGACTATCGCGTTGCGAATTTGACTTCTATGTTGCGAATTTGACTTCTGTGTTGCGATTTACAAATTCGCGTTGCGATTTACAGATTCGAGTTGCGAATTTGAAAACTGGGTTGCGAAATTGGAGTTCGCGTTGCGAATTTGAGATCACGTTGCAAATTTGTTGGTCATTTTCTCAAATCCAAAAAAAATTGGTTAAAATCGTATATTATAAGGCATTTTCGGTTACTAAGGTTATTTTCTCTTATTATTATTCTTCGGGGAAGGCTCACAGGGGGTTGATTTTTTTTTTGTTGGTGAAAATGGGATTATAAAATTCCACCTAAAATGGCTTAGCATTTCACATCGACTACAATAATCTAATCTGAATGTCCAAAGCTTAGTCCCCCTAAAAAGGGATCACGGGTTCAAACCTTGTAAACCCCACTTTTGTTATCTTTATTTTAACATTTCAAGGTAAACTTGATGGCTAACTTCATACTCGAGTCCTTGAACTATTTAGAAAATTATGAAATAGATCCTAAGTTCTCGTTTTCTCACAATTTAGTCCCCGATAAGATAATTAAACTATTTAATTTAAGCTTTAAATTTTTGGGGTGTGACATTAATTGCTTGTATAGTTCCTATAGTTGTCACTTTTTTTTACATATCATATACTTATCACCTTCTATTAACTTGATATCTATTATTATCATTATTATTATTTTGCTCCATGCTTGATATACATACTTTCATTAGATCAACTAGTTTAGCACTTGCCACTAACATCGTTAAATCCTAAGCACATAGAGACAATACTACCTGATAATGATGATAAAATCATCCAACAATTTACAAATAATTATATAAATATTTGTAAAAAAATTACCAAGATTTCAAAATTGTATTTAAATATTATAAACGTTATAATGATCCAAAAATATATATTTACTTTTAGATAAATAAATAATAAAATAATAATATCGTAAAAAACTATTTTTAAATATATAGTATTTTTATAAAATATAAAAATTTGAAAAATATACTTTATATTTTATGATTACGATAATACACAACCACAATATAAACACATAAATTATCAAATCTAACCATATTATTACGAAAACAGTATAACAATCATAAACACAATTTTGAACATCAGGTTGATTAAAGAAAGATTTTTAGAAGAAAGGAAAAGCTGCAAGGACTAGGTTTCAAACTCAAACTTACCAGATGTTAAATTGTATGAGCCCACCCATTTACATATATTGAGTATTATTTACATTTAGTTAAATAAATATTAATATAAGAAAAAGCTTAACTATTACATAAATCTTAAATTAGTATCATAATACAAAAATAGCACAAATTTAACTTATAGTTAGAAAAATAATAAAAAATCAAATAAAATATATTAATACTTATTCTAAATAAGATATTCATATTTTTTTTGTTCAAATTAAATTATATGAAATAAAATTTCTCAATAAAAATAATATATTGCTAACTCGGAATAAATAAAATTATTACCATTCGTAGCATAGATAGCATAGTGTTGTATACAACTATGCTTAGTGAAACTGAATTAATGCCAAAGAAAATGCTGAAATAAATAGTCTTGAAACTACATTATTGCATACGAAATTAGCTTAAAAGGAAAGACGGTGGAACTTGTTACCATCCCAGCAAAGCACGGATTATGCGTAGTATGCTACCACTGAGAAGAGCCTGCAACAATCTGAGCTTTCCGCGTGTGTATGGGGGGTACCTCAGAGATGAATCACCGGAAAAGCCTTTATACAGAACAGCCTTCTTATGGCTAAAAGCATCGAAGGAGAATTTCCCATGGTACGAACCCATTCCGCTCTCCCCAACTCCTCCGAATGGTAAATTGTGCTCAGCAAGCTGAAATATTTATTAGTTGATTTGATCCACGTGAAGATTGGAATCTATAAGTCCATGTTTCATGAAATATGAACATACACTGTATTTTAACCAATCTCATCAATTAACTACAAGTAAAAAAAGAAAATATTTTACTCATGAATCCCAAATGGAAATCTAAGTATAATTTCCGGCTACCATAAAACCATAAAATGAATCGCCCGTGCGATAATGGCCCTTGATAGAAGATTACAAGAGCATTACATGAAATCTGATCCTCGCCTACTGATATCCTTTATGTCAACCATTGAATTCATTCAAAGAGTTCCTTGGACCAATATAATTTCCCAGAAAAGGCAGTTTAAATCTATTTGTCACCAACTCACCATTGGCTTATAATTTCCTGGTGACATTCTCTAGGGACTAATAAATTATTTTTCAAACCTAATTGCACAGTTATTTCATGTTTTTCATATCGATTTAACCATAAGGACACAATCAATATGCTTCCTCATTAGCCAAATCAAGGGATCACTTGTAACCCATCCATAGAGATTACCGCCAATTCCAAATGTAATCATGTCTAAATGCAGATTATACAACAATGCATGCATGTCTATATTGGTTCCATAAGTTGAAAGCATACTTACATGTACAGTAGTATCATTGACGACTAAACCCCCGGCAGAGACCTCTGCAACGAACTTCTCCTTTAGCTTATTGTTATTGGTAAAAAGATATGCTGCTAGTGGCTTTGGTCCAGAAGAATTTATCATATCAAAACTCTCTTCCACGTTATCGACCTGTTATAAACCAACCACAAGAAAATCATGATGAATGTTCCGTATTCAATCTCATAAATGAAGAATAAGAGCACTGGTCTAATTATTCATTAAAATTTCCTTGATACCATGAATAATTGGAGTTAGTTGCAGTCGGGTCATTTTCATGCAGAGAATTCATAAACCAAGTTATATTCTATATTTGCTCGGACTCTTCAATTTGTTAAAATATGAGTATGGGGATATGACCATCAAAGGATCCTTCAAATACATAGGAAAACTCTAAAAAAATAAATAAACATACCCCCGCCAAATATATACCTATACTCAACACAATACCCAAGTCCGAGTAACATAGGCTATATCCTCAAGAAGATCTCTCTGTTCATATGTAGAACTTTTTATTGTTCCCTTGCAAACTTTCCAGAAAAATATTGCTTAGTCATCTCTTGCCTAATTATTCATGCTCCATTTGAAGGAAACGATATGCATACACTCTTTGTTCAAGCAATAAAAAGAAAAGGTTCAACTCTTTAAGTGTTTGAAGGACAATGTCTACGCATGGAAACAACAAAAACTAAAAGAAACCGTAAAATAAATAGCAAAACATTTTGGTGCAATTGGCTCTTTAGTTCCTACCAGGATAATTGGAAGCAATGGGCCAAATATCTCTTCCTTCATGATTAGAGAATTTATTGGGACATCGAGCAAGATAGTGGGAGCAATCTTCCTGCCATCGGAAGAAAGAAACGATTATTAACTATTAACAGTATAAATTGTCCGGTGCACTTTAAACGAGAAGCAAAGCCCAGGTTAGAACTGACAAGTTTGTTTCATCTCTCGCTCCACCATGGGCAATCTTACTAGAAACCTTGTCCTCTTCCAATAGTTTTGACAAGCGATCAAAGTGGTTAGAGTTCACTATGCGAGACAAGTCTTTTGATTCCAATGGGTTCTTTCCATAAAATTGCTGCAATTCACATTTGAAAGAATCTACCTGCAGGGTAAAAAATAGATTGAGAAGAACAATTGAAAAATAAATGGGTTACAACTTACAAATGTTAACATGTACGAGCATTATTACCAACTTCACAGCATAATCTTTTGCTGTAATAATATAATCAGGAGAAACGCATGCTTGTCCATTATTACACCCCCACTTCCCTGCAATTATCCTCCTAGTTGCAACCTGAAACACACAGAAAAATATAAGTCGGTCAAAAAGAAAGTTGACATGATGGCAAAATTGAACACTATGCATACCTTTAAATCGATGCCTGAATCAACAATGACAGGTGACTTCCCTCCGAGCTCTAGAACAATCGGTGTTAAGTGCTTTGCAGCTGCTGCCATTACAATGCGTGCAACTCTTCCGTTGCCTAAAAGTTTAAAAGATGTTTTGATTCAAAGAACTTATATCAGAACTGATATGACAATGACTAAAGCACTGGTTAGCATACAGCGAAAATTAGAGGTTCTGGGAGAGCACCAAAAATTGGACGCAAGGGTTCATCTTGTTGAAAAATCACTTTAAGACTTGAGTACATTTTACTTTTAAGTCTCTAATCTAAGACTAAAGACAGCATATCAGCAGAGTATCAAATAAATATGACAAAGCAAACCCCTGAAAAATCCCCCCAAATCCTCGTCATTCTTGTAAGATCCCAAAGTAAGAAACTTTTTAAAATCATTAGGCCAGCAAGACTTCCAATTTCCAATAAACTTTTGACCAGTTCAAGTGATACATTAACCATAACCACCCTCAGGGAACACATAATAGCTTGTCAATCTACGGACCATACTACTATGTCCCCATGAAACACTCTTCTGCATCTGTCTAGCAACTCCCAATGATAGGAAAAGGTTAAAGGTGAAGTAACATGTCAAAGAAAAGAGCCAATCAATTAAGCTGTAATGTTCTGCAGTTCATAATTTGAGGTCCCAAACCAGATAAAGGATGTTGCAGTAGATTTGGTCAAGCAGCCAGTAGTAACCACAAAACATCAACATAAATCCTAGAGAAAGAAATGGTTGCCAAGAGAGTCTACTAAGATTTATAAGAACATCTATTTACAAAAATTAGGGAGTTATAGACCGCCCAACAATGAAGAATACCTGATTTTATCTCTAACACAGCTTCATCCACAGAATGATCTAAACTATATAGAAGCTATAAAGAACATCTAAACTAAATGCTAAAACAGAAATCCTGTTAAATCATCAATACCACGTGGCTCATCCACGGAATTGATAGAGCCTTAATCCTACCCAACTGTAATAGAGAGCTACACTATCCAACAACCACGGCTACCACAAGCTTCTTAAAGCATTATGCACATATCACAGATGAAACTAAAATGCAGCTGTCCATGAATGCTTAAGTAACACATAAAAGATTCAGCAAGAGGAGAAGGTAAATAGATGCAAATGTGCAAAGGACCTGTATAAAATATTTTGTCCCACTTTTGCTCCAGTAGTGCTGATGTTTCTGGAACTGCTCCTTCAACAACCTTAATGCAAGAGCCATCCAAATAACCAGCTACTAGCTTTGCAAGCAAGGATGATGAGGCTGGAGCTAGTTCTGATGGCTTTAAGACTATAGCATTACCAGCTGCAATAGCTCCAACCATTGGATCAAGAGATAATACTGAAAGAAGAGATACAAATATAGTCATATTCCAACATATTTCAGGAATTAAAAGAAAAAAAAGGACAGAGAGGCATGATTTGAACACGTCCATCTTGTGTTTAACATACAAAAAGGATAATTCCATGCTGAGATTACAAACACAACACCCAATGGTTCAGATACAATTTCAGCAGATGAAGGAAACGTAGTCAATGAAGTTTTTGCCTGCAGAAAGGGGCAAGTTGATCATATTCAACTCTTTTAATGATCAAAAAAGAAACCTTAATGAAAGCTTATGCTCATTTAGAGGTACCCAAAAGTTTTACCTTTTCCGGCTTCATCCAATGCTTCATTTCCTTGAGTGCTAATTTGCACGAATTCTTTAACATTGCTATCTGCAGTGTAAACCATGTCAACATCATATGAGGACAAAAAGGTGTCATGTTTCATGTGGGACTTGTGTAGGAAAAAAAAGCGCTTACTAAATTCAGGAGGCTAAACATAAATAACTCCAATATTTGATGATTTTTCCATAGTTCTATTCCTAAATATTGTGAGATTTTGAGCTTAACTATCAGCTATGGTATGAAAGTTGAATTTAAAACAAAGATATCATGTATCATGAATTATACAAATTTAACAAGAGAAAGACTGCTTGACATAAAAATTATCCGATTGACAAAAGTTAGGTGGTTCAGAACAATAGTCATCCAATACATTATTTTCCCCAAAATTACAGAGCCTAAAAATAAATAAGAAAAGGCTCTTTAAAGCTCTTTATCTTAAAAAAAGTATACATTACCAGTCTGCCACAAAGAACAATCATTTAGGAAACCTAAAAAGAGATTTTGCTTACCTTTTAACTTCATCAACTATTAAATCTAATTAACTTAAACACAGAAGGTTGACTTAAATGACGCATCTAACTAGCTTAAAATAAACACATCTGCCCCAAAGTTAAATCCAGAGACTGAAAATATACATTTAAGCATATGGCTAAGATACTTTTGTAAGAGCCGCAACACCAATCATCAAATTATAACTATTTAAAATAGATAGCAAGACATATCTCTGTTTTTCTTCTTTCGTTTTTTTTAGTTTCTTTTTCTTTTTCAATTTCTGTCCAACCACCGTGCGTACCTACATTCAAATTCAATACTACTTATTTTTAATCTTTATGTCTACTAAATAAAGTTATACTCACTCAGGAACTATTCACCCCAAAGCAAAACTTTACCCCACTTTCCAAAATTAATATTCTGAAGTATTAGCAGGTACTGAAAAAGCTTAACATAGAGAATGTGCAGAAATGTAAAGGCCTCTTACTACAGTTACATCCTGTCGGCTACAGATTTTAACAATGAGTGAGAACTGGATTAGCAATAAATATTAAAGCACTTGAGTTCTAGCAGTTTCGAGTATTAAATAGCTCGATTCTTTTACTAAGTCTGAAATTGACCAACCACTTTCATGAAAAAGGAAATATTTGGCATGTCATAAATGCTATTCGGGTCCACCCAGATTTCAAACCTATCATCTGTTTAGACAGGTCTAAAAATTTTGCACCCGAAAGAAAAAATTGGACAACTTCAAGCCTCAAGTTCTAACCTTTTTATTCATGGATTTCAAGTTCTCACTGGAAGTTTGTAATAAAAGGTATATATATATATGTGTGTGTGTGTGTGTTTATCTGTCAGAAATAATAAACCCCAAATGGGAAAGAAGAGGGAAGCAGACAAAATAAAAATAGCTTTAGAGACATTCTGCTTTGGAGGCCTGCGATTATTAATACCGAAATTAATTAAGAATACTAAAAAAATTTGATATTTGTGGGCACAGTGAAATCTTTTTATTTGTGACACATATTGGGAATCGAGAACAGCAATAGAGTTGACTTAGATCGGCCTATTTGCCCTTTTGTCTTTAAAAAAAACCATGAATAATGATTCAGTTCATGAAATAAATTAAATTAAAACCTAGTCGGATAACAAAATCAAAGCAGATTCATTGAAATAATAATCGGATTAAAATTAATAAAAAAAATGTTTACCTCGTAGATGGAAGATTCGAGTTCCGGCTTGGAAAGATCATCGCGAAGAGCGGAGACGATTTGCAGCTCGTTCTCTTCCAACATGTTCAACATGGCTATCAACTGAGATACTCTCCATTCGTAGGTTTTAGTTTTTCCAGCCATGAAGCTAGCTCTCAACTTGTTCACCATCTGCTTCGCTGACTCCGTATCAAAAACCGCTTTGTCCTCTGATTTACTCCCCATTATTACCCAAAATCAACAACGAAAATCACAATAATCAATGAAAAAAGATCCAAACTGTGGAACTTCTTATTAGATAATACGCCGATTTCTTTCGTATAGTTATGTTCGAATCTGCTTCCAGAAAACGCCGGCGTCGTTAAAAAGGATCACCGTGCATCACCGTGCCACCGATAACAAAGGTTGAAGTTATCCCGTCAGAGTTGTATTGGCATCAACTCGGTTAAAAGATGTATATATATAACTTAGATTTCATTTATTATTAATTATTATAAATACTAATATTACAAAAGGTCATATCAATAATTACACCCTCTTGACTTATGAAGTGTGTAAAATAATAATAATAACAATAATAATAATAATAATAATAATAATAATAATAATAATAATAATAATATATTATTGTTGACGAGGATATAATCACATTATCACGACTTTGGTAAAACTAAATTAATTTTTCGCATATTATCTCGCTTATTAATATATAGGGTAAATTACACAACAAAATCATTGTATTATTATAATTAAATTTATAATTTGATCATAGTATTTTAAGAATATATAATTGAATAATTCTATTTAATTAAGTATTTTTTTATAAATGAGTTTCATATATTAATTTTTATTATATTTGAGTGATTTGACTATTATAATTGATAATTAGAATGATTAAAGTATTATAATCAATAAATATAATAATATGATTATAATTGAAATTCAGTATATGTTATATAATAAATAGAATTATTTAATTATCACAATCGATACATTATTGTTTTAAATTTGCATGTGGAGACTTCACTACCATTTATATTATAATGGTCTTATTTATAATTGTTAAAATATTTTCGATGAATATATGCTTGCATTTCACAACTCAAAACAAAGCAATATACCATTACCCTATACCAGGCTTGTACACCAATCACAAAGAATTAACAAATAAAACCATTTTTTTAATTAATCACGGATATCTTATTTATTGACCGACTAATCAGGATTGAATATTGCAGAGGTGAGGACGACCCTCCAAACCCAATTTGTTCCATTCGTAAACGTTAGGATTTGAACATCTGACATTGTTTAAGGGACATAGTGTCTCATCCCACTAGATCAACTGGTTGTCAAAACCATTTAACCTATAAAATATAATTTTAATTATTCTAATAAGTGTACTGATTGAATTGGCAATAGTAATATTATAAATATATATTATGTTTACTTTTCTATAAATGACTATTTTTATTTTACAGGATGAGTTCTATCGATGTAGTAAAAGAATTCCTTGTAAAATATCTTATCGTCTACTTTTTCTTAAAGCTAATAATTCTTTATATTTTATGTCAATTAAAAATACATATAATAAATTAAATATAACATGATGACAATATTTTTATTTTTTAAATTATTTTTAATATATTTAAAAGTTATTGACGTTGTTCTTAAATCGCCAATTTTCGTGAAAAGACAGTTTTTCATATATATATATATATATATATATATATATATTATTTTTTGATTTTTTACCCTTTGATTCATTTAGTTGAGAAAATAACGGGAAATTACAACAACCATTGCATATGGCGTGTGATAAAAGAAAAGGAAACCGCAGGAAAGAATGAAATAGAAAACGCTGCGTATTTGAGGGGAGTGGAGGCATAATTTTGCGGTGACAAACAGGATGTGCGAACGGTTAAAATTTTAAAATTTTTATGTATTTTTATTTTTTATATATAACTTAATTTTTTTTTAAATTTTATAATTTACACGTTATTTTTTTAATATACATTTCTTAAAAAGATTCTCACGTTCGTGACGTCACTGATGACAAATCAGCCACCAAATCTCAACTAATTGTTGTTTGGTTGTTATGCTGAACTTTGAATTTGATTAAGCTACGAAGACTGAGAAGACATAGGACTTTGTTTCCGAAAGGAGATTGTTTAACCTCTTGATTATCTTTTCTTTTCTAGTTTAAATATTGGTATTATCTACTTGGATAATACTTTTGCATCTACATATATTAAGTAAATTATAAGATTGATTATTTCCGTTTAGTTTTATATATTTTTTTTATTGAATTTTAAAAAATATAATATTTGATAACTTTCGTTTTTATTTAATTAAGATGTGATCACTGAATATTAATTATACTAATGAATTATCGATATGACACAATAAATATATAAAATTAAAAAAATTATACAAATACTAACTAATTATTTAGAAACAAACAAAACTACCCTTATTAGTTCAGATTTCATACGACCATCAATGCCATAAATTCTTAAGTTCCCCAGCGTTGTATATCAATGAAACTTGCGGGCCGGGGGGGGGGGAGAGAATTGTTTTTAAGCACTAATTTGTAGGTTTTTCCCCAATAGGGTAAATATTTTATTTATTTATCCTAATACAACACGTTAGCGTTTGTTTTAGAATCTACAACATTTGTTAAAGTGTTCAAGGAACTCGTCATTAGTGACGAGTTGACGAGTTCCAATAGAAATTACTTTTAAATCCACTTATTAATATTTAATATATTTTTTTAAAAATTAGTCACTTTGAGGTGAAGAATTTTATTAAAATAATAGTTTTTTATTTTTAGTGTTTTATTTAAAAAAAATAGAACTCTATGATGAGTTTCGGCAAACCAACGACATGATTTTTGAATTAATGGAACTGTCATGTCGAGGTGATGAGTTCTAATAATCATTTTCACAAAATTTTCATTATAAATAGGAGTAAGTTGATAGAGTGTATATGAGATTGAAATCATGCATTTGTGGGGATAATATTACCAAAAATTTACGAATGATACATTTGGGTCTGATTACTCAGACAACGATGATTCAGATTCGAACTTGTTTTTCAGATGAGGAGTGGGTAAAGAAGACTATGAAGTTAATATTTGATCAACATAAGGAGAGTAGGAACTTGAAGAAGAAAAAAAGGAGATGAAAATCGAGGAGGAAGAGAAGAAGAAGAAAAAGTATGAAGAGTTACTGATCCGATATAGCAAACGAATTAGAAAATGGAGAAAGAAGAAAAAGTATGAAAAATAATTGTGTAGGAATTGAGAAGAAGAAGGAGGCAAAAAGTTGTTTTGTATGTTGATTTTTATGTTGATGAAATGCTTAAAATATATGTATGAATTTGTGTTTAGTTAAAAGTTATTTATGAGTAGTATGAAATTATGTATGAAAAATTAATGTCGCAATCGACCCTTTAAGGGAAAAGCCAACTAGTTACGATGATGATGTTTTCGAAAAGGTTTTGATATGAAATGTTTGGAGTCGTCACCAATCATTTTTCAGGTGTGATTGAAACACCAAAAATTGCATACTTTTAATCAAACATTTTATTTTACTAAAAATACCAAGTTTTGTCATGGAAAATTAGGAATCGAGTTCGTAGCCAAAAAATTGGTACCTAGTCGATTATCCTATATTTAAAATTGGAAAATTTGAGTTCGAGGTTTTATTTAATTTAAAATCGCTATGTATACAAATTTTAAAAAGGTTATCGCTTTACCAAGACCAATAACAACCACCCTCAAGCATGTAATGCGAAACTTTCGTTATCGACCACAATAAATAGACATTGCCTTGATAATTAAGTAAACATAATGAGAGTTTTTGGAAATGATGTCGATTTACTTCGGGAATTGCCAATGGTCACCCCTTAAGCATAACGCGGAGGATACACTATTAATTCCTTAATAAATGAACATTGTCTTATAACTTTGAAATTGAGATGTAATCGGACAACCATTTAAAAGTCTAATTATACTAGACGTGTTAATTAAGTCAATCCCTACTTAAAGTGCAAATATGCAATTTAAATGACCTAAATGACTAAACCTGAAAACAGAGACTCTAATAGTAATCCTAATTTATTTTAACCAATTATTAAATCGAATAATCAAAGTGGTCCCTCATGCATGTTAATGCGAGAGCCAATTCAAATTACTCCCTAAATTAAAGGACTACAGTGATAATAAGCCTAAAGTGGAGGCTTTAACTAATAACCTAAATAATTATGTCAATTATGGAATCAATAATCAATTTGGATCCTCAAACATGTTAATACGAAGGCCAAATCAAATTATTTCTTAATTTTTAAAAAGTTCTAGTACTAATTTCACAAAGTTACAAAATTTAGAGACTAGATCTAAAGTTAAAGTACTAATTAAGGACTAAATTATAAAGAATCTAAACTTAATGGTGTTAACATGTTAAAATTTAAATCTAAACCTAATATTAAATTAAGCAAGCACGAAGTCAAAGGTTATAATAAATACCAAAAATGTTCATAAATATTGAAGACACAAATAAATAAGAAAATAAATATACATATAAATAGATAAATAAAAGGAAACAAAGTAAAAACACATGAAACTTAACAAAGAAAAAGGCATACATTAAGTAGATTTCGACAAAAGACTAAATAAATAAATAAAATGTTATCAAATTAAGAAGTAATCAATGACCATAAGTGAAGATTTAGAAAAAAATGTGACTAAATTAAGAAAACAATGCTAAAATTGAAACAAAAATGTACTTCAGTGTGATCGATCAATAACACTCAACCTCTTGACATGCCAATTGTTTCTCTAACTCTCAAGTTTCATACAATGAGCTTATTCAAAAGAGAAAATAACCTCAGTGACCAAAAATCCCATATAATATACGATTTTAACCAACTTTTTCCGGATTTGCCAAAATGACCAACAAAATCGCAATGCGATCGCTAATTCGCAACGCGATCTCCATTATCGCAAATTCGCGTTGCATTTTCGCAATGCGATAGTTGAAAATCGCGTTGCGATGGTCTACAGTATCGTTGCGATTTTCCCAATTCGCAATGCGAATAAGTAAATCGCAACGCGAATTGGGAAAATCGCAATGCGAATAAGTAAATCGCAACGCGAATTGGGAAAATCGCAATGCGATACTGACTATCGCAATGCGATAATAAAAAATCGCAACGAGATACTTACTTTCGCAACGCGATACTGACTTTCGCAACGCGATAATACATAATCGCAATGCGATTTTCAAAGCGCCATTAGTATCCTGGCCAAGTATTTTATTTTTAAATTCCAAACATGAATATTAATATATTGGAACACTGAACTGTCCACAGTATATCCCGTAATCGCAACTCATAACCTAAAACCTAAAATCACAACTCA